TCTCTCACTTCAATTCCTAAATACTTTTATTATTGATTGTAAAATCCCTTGAAACGGAAATAGAAATACTTGAGTTGAAATGGGGACAAAATAAAACCAATAAAGAATGTTTTAAAAAGAATGTGAGAATATTAAATATGTTAAAAACAAGCTTGTCCTCAGGATGATAGTTTTTGTTTTAGAATTCAGTGGTGTACCTTAGAATGTGAAAATGACTATCCTGATGTGGACAGTTGGACACAAACCATTCAAGAGCTCGTTTGGTACCACAGAATTTACGTGCTCTATACTCCATGACTCCAAATCCCACAAGGAAAGAAGGCACAGATATCACGTGTTGTAGTCAGTACTGTCTCTATGTGCTGCTGCATTTGTTTTTGTTTCAAAATGTCAATATTATGTGAACCCAGACATAACTGAATTTTGCCACATTACTTCAGTTGGGCCTTTCATTGCTGTTCATGTCCATAAATGCAAATATTTTTCTTGGATTTGAATAATCAGAAATCAGTGGCATTAATGCAATATTATAATCCTGGATTTCCAGTACCTTTGAAACCAATTTTAAAAAACTGTGTTCTTGAAACTTATTTATTTATGGTGACACCAGTGTATCTAATCCATACTTCCTGCTGTGTGAAACCCTGTTAAATTTTTTCATTAAAGAAAGGAGACACGATCTTGTTTAATCCTGTATATATGGTGTCTACATTCTAGATTTGTGTATGCTGTGAATGAACTTATTACTAAGAGATGCAATTGTATAAAAGCATTCAGAGGCTATGCATGCATGGTACCTCCAGAAAGTGCATACTCCAAGTTGCAGATTCCTGCAAAAATAAATTAATAAAACTAAGCAAACATCACATCCTGCAGTTGTTCTTGTATGTAGTTGGGAACATTTAAAAAATACAGCCATTTTTGGCATTCATAGCCTGATTTGTTTCTTGTCTCCCACTTGAACATTTGTTTCAGGGCTTTTTTGGGATTTTTGTTTAGGTGCTCATTAGGCGTTTGCTGAATAATGAACTGGGGTCCAAATCCTGTTCCCATGGATGTGGATAAGCAGGAGCCCCTTTTAGATGATGGATATTCTGTGCGGCTTCTGGTATGGAAACAGTTGGGATGTCCAGAGTGTGAAGTTGAGCTTACCACTTCTCTCTTATATTTGAATGTAAAGTTGTTATTAAAGAAGTCACCTTACCTGCTTTGGGTTGTAGCCTGGCTGACAGACTTTCCTGCTTATTCGCAGTGATATTGAGTATCTGGATTACAGAAGTTCATCTCCTGCTCTAACCTCGGTTGAAAGGCACTGCTCTGGGAGAGGGTGGAGAACTGGAAATGCACAAATAGACACTTCATTGGTCTGTCTTCTCAGTTACCTCGATTGTATCAGCTCAGCATGATCTAAACCTTGGAAGCTCCACAGCTGTGCTGCAGCCCTGTTTTGCTCACACACAGTTTGTCATTCACCACGTTCTCGTCTAACAAACCTGCTGCAGCCTCGGGTTTGGGCTTTGGTCAGTAAACATAGGTAAGAATTTAGTTCTACATACTTTCTACTGGATTGGATTTATCACAATTTCAGGACAGGTTTATATTTTAATCAAGCATTTGATTCTTTTGCTTTAGAAATCATTGCAGTTGAAAGTCAATCTTTTTAAAAAACTGTGAAGAAGTTAAGGTACCTGTAAAGTGTATTGTGCTGATGGGACCACGCAAAGCTAAAAGACTCTAGTCTAACAGCTGAGTGGTCACTGTTTTTTCCCTGAAGTCATGAGGAGGAGGAGGGTCTGCCTGAATTGCATAAAACTAGTTGATTTATTCCTCAGAATTGCTTGGTTTTGACAGTAGTGGACCATGTCTTAAACCTGTGGCTCATTGAGAGATGATTTGCCCTGTGATCTGGTAAGTATTCCTGGAATTAAGTGCTGCTGCTTCTAATCAGTCAGCATGATCCATGGTGTGGTAGGTAAGTGCTTTAAATTCTTTAATTGCACCTTCTCTGATTCTAAGTGCACTTTTTGGAAGGAGATGATTTAGATACCTGAGTGAACAGGTGGACTCAAAGTGTTACATTCTGAATAGGTTACCTGATGTTTTGTGGGAACCTTGTGAAGTTGTTAGAGAAGGGGCTCTTAATTTTTTGCTGGAGGGTCTGTGATTGTAGCATGTTGTTTTGCAGGAGCGCCTCTTTGTTTCACAAAACGTTCTGTCTCTAGAAAACAGTATGTATTGATTAAAAAGAATAAATTATAAAGTGAAAATACATTCATAAAAACTCCACTCTGCAGATACTTTCTTTCTGGATAGGCAAGGCTTAAAACTTGGCATCTGTTTGCTGCTTTTACGAGTTCCATGTCAAAGATATTGACAAATTAATTTTCCTTTATTCCCAAACCATTGGGACTGTGTTGAAGTTAAAAGCTCTCTTGCCAGGTTTGCTTAAAAAAAAAGTAGATAGGCTTCTGTTACTGCTTTAGGAACAAAGGAACAAAGCCTGTGAATGAAAGACCTGCAACACGGGTGCTGCTTTGCTTTTGACTTAAAGGCTTCTTATTTTTTTGGAAGTGTTTTAGGAAAAGAAGTTTAGGCATGTGGCAATTTTTTTAGGAAAAATATGGACTACTTCAGGGAAAAAAAATAGCTAGTTGAGGGAGGTTTCCATAGGTTTGAAAATGATAATTCTGTCTGCAGACTGGTACGGCCCACTGGTGCACTGGCCCACTGGCCATTGCTTCACAGGGCCTGCTTGCAGGTGAGGCATCCGAGGGGTAGGTGTTACCACAGCAGGAAAGATCCTTGGCCTTTTGGGAAAGAATAAACACCAACCAAAAATCAGGACCAAACACTCCCCACCCTTGTGGACAAGGTGGTTCGGGAGA